TAGTTTAATCGTTTTATTCACATTTTTATTTTCCAGCAACCAATCTCGCACGATGCATTTTTATTTATTTCTTTTTAATCGTTGAATTTAGTTAATCTTTGATTCCCTTTTGTCCGTCCATGTGGAGACAATACTCGTACTTACACCACTATATTACAATCTATTTTAAGTGCGAGAAAACTCACATCAATTCTTAACAAAAAAGTATAAGGAAATATTTATAAATAAGTTTTCGAAGACATGTATACATATTTTTTCGTACATGTGTATGCTCAATTTGTCACATGACTCGGTATATAATTGATGGAGTATCCAAGGACGAGATTGTCCTCAATATTCGGTATATAATTGGTGGAGTGCTCAGGGACATGATTAGTTCTCAAAACTCATAGTATACAGGTTAGTAACCCACGACCGGGCTATGTCCTTAAATTACTTGATTGAACAAGGAGGGGTTCTATACACTCATAAGTATTTGGGTGGGTTTGGGATTTATAAGTCAAGAACTATGACTATTATATTCCAAGTAAACGAATGATATATGGGTCGGGTATTTTCCAAGTGTATATACTTATGTGTATTTAACGACTTGGTGGAAGACTATAAGTTATGTGTCACTCTATGTTTGGGTCTTATACTTGAAATGCTAGTTATTCTACATTTAGTCTGTTTCTCGCCAGTACAAGTGTATTGACCCCTTCGGGGACCGTCACAATTTTCAGGTAGAAGCTAGAGCTTGCTACATGCACCTTTGCACGGGTGAAGTGATCTCGAGGAAGACGTGGTTCGTGCTTCCTTTATTGATTTGAAACTACAAACTATGCTCATGGATATTTTGTATTGCATACTTTGTTTTGGGCATGTGAGCGCACATTTTGCCATATGTGGTCCAAAATTGACTTGTGAATATTTCCGCTATTCATTCAATTTAATGTGTGATGTTGTTATGTATGTTTATGTTGAGTATGTGGTTTTGTTGATGACTAACCATGCAGGTGGAACGGGGGACAGAACCGACTACGGAGAGTTCTAATATGAACTCTGGACAGAACAGTTCCACGAAACATTCGGTCCCATAATTTGTTATGTGTCTGCATGTGCATGTCTTTCAACGTATGATATTTTACATGCATTAATACCTTTCTATAATTGATTAAATATTTTGTGAAATGTATTGTTACATATGCTTTATGGAAAGTCACTTTATGGAAAGTAATATGAGTGCATTATTGCATGACCATATAATATACGTAATTGTGCTTCATAAAAGTAATTGTGCTTTTTACTTTATGACAAGTAATTTTGGGTTGACCATAGCATTAATAAATTAAATATCTTGCCTTATGGAAGATTACCGTAAGTGGCTTTTTCCTTTTGAAATAAATATTTCTTACCATACCAATTACATTGTCTTCCATGATTGAATTATTTGTGTGAGATCTTTGCATATAGTAAGTTACACGTAGCATCATTTGAATTGGATTACTTGCATATCTTTATTTAAGTAATCATTGACCACTTTATTGCTCTCTTGCTATAATAAGAGAATAAATTATTCCTTGCCATATTATTTTTGGAACCGTTGCTGCATAAGATACTCTCCCAAATTGATGTGCTCTTATGTGAATATTAGTGGAAAGAATCTTGATTTACGTAGACTTGATTGTCTGACCCTATTTGAAGTAGCACCGTATTTGAATATTTTTATTGATATGGTCCGTTGCTTGACTAAAGCATGTTAAGTAAATCAATATTATTTCCTTATATGTTGACTCGTGAATCTTGAGCAAATTTACTCATATTTGAGACCGAATAAAGAGAGCTACTCTAAGGAAAGTAATTCAAAATATCAAGGCAAGTCTCAAGATTAGGAGATCAACTATTCAAGGAGGATTACTCAAACGGTCTGCTCAAGACAGCCGATATAAACGAAGCAGCCAAAGAGAATTAAAGTGTGCTTGACCAGAGAAATATTCAGAGACACACTCGAGAGAAATACTAAGTCCAAGGCACCTGAAACTGCTCGCGGAGTTCTAGATAGAGTTTTCTTTTCCCTTTCATATTGTACTTAGAATATTGAGGCTTAATTGGCTAGAGTAGCTGCCTCGGGTTAAGTGTGTGTGTGAGCTTTGTGATAAAGCTGAGAGGCTCTCTACCCGCAAGGTAGAGATGCATAACTCTTCCTAGAGAGGATAGAGTTGGGAAGGCTCAAGGGTAGATTAGGAGAATCACTCTTGTAACTCTTTCAAAGGCTTGTTTAGTGAAGTTGTTTAAAATTCCTCCGAGGGAGGTCGAGGTTTTTTAATCCCTTTGAGCCAAGGGATTTTTCCTCGTTAAATCCTTGTGCACTTTACTTTTCGCAATTCCCGTTACCCCACACTAGAACTGGGCGAAAAACTGCTACGGTTCCACACACACACAATTCACCCCCCCCCCCCCTCTTGTGTTGCTAACCGTTTTCATCAGTTTACTTACTGAGTATGATATGAACTATGTTCATGGACGCTTTGTATAATCGAGTGAGAGTGACATGCGGGTGACGTCACTTGATTGTGCTGCGGTTGTACACTCGCCTAGATGCGGTCTGGGCGTGAAAATTTTTACCCCAAATAATTGTTGGAATTGTTGGATTTCTTGTTGAAATTGCAATTGTGATTGGGTGAGAGCTTGCAATTGCTCTTCCATGACTTCAATGGCGAATTTGGTACGTGAACGAGGCGCTAGAGTGTTGCACAGAAGATCTTCAAGCGGAAGAAGGATACCAAGATTTCAAAGCTCTGATACCAATGTAATAGGAGTTGAACTTGACTACTAATGGTGATGAACAAATAAACAAGAGCCTAGCTCAATTGTTATGAGAGAGTACAAGAGTTTAAGGGAGTGTTTGCAACAAGTTAAAAAAAGCACTTCTTAGCTTTTGGCTTAAAAAAGCACTTATTTACCAAATGCTACCAATTTTTAATTTTTCTCCGCTTGCGTGTGAAAAGTGTTTTTCCCTTTTCTATTACACAAAAAACACTTATTTTACCAAACACTACCAACTTTTACTTTTCAAAATCACTTTTTTCTCAAACACTATCAACTTTTACTACTAATCAGTTTTTCCTTACATCTCCAAAAGTGTTTTTTTAAGCAGAACCAGTTGCAAACACTCCTTAAGAACAATTAGCAACAATTGTGAATGGTTTTTATTCATTGTCATCTTCCTTATTTATACACGGCGTAATTAGCTAACTTCAACTGTTGGCTAAACAATTACAACCGTTTACAACGAACTTCCCCAACTAACTAGCTACTTAACTAATGGTAAGTAAAGCAACTGTTATAAAGAGTTTGGGGGAAGAACGGCTATGGTCGTCTGTCTTTCATGAAAGCACCTTCTATCATCAACGGGCAATGAGAAAGGTGAGGGAGCGAGGAGACGAATGAGAGAGGCGACAAAGAGATGGAACGATGAATTCGAGGCAGAAGACTAGCGCTACCTTAAGTTTTGGGCACATTACTACACATAAAAAAAATATTTATTTATTAATTAAATATATTCTTTAAATATTATTAGATACGTGTTTTTGAGAAGAAACCTAATAAGGTCTTATATATGGAAAGATGAGCGTATGTAGTCATATCTACAATAATTTTCTCTTTTTTATTTGAATCAAAATGTGTTTGTGTGAATGTGTATGCAATCATGTGCACGTGTAGGTGTGAGGGAGTGCTTGTATGAAGAGTTCAAGAATGTCAACCAAACACAAAATAAAAGAATGAGTACTATTTTTGTCAATAAATTTAAAAATATGTTTTTTCTGAATGTGCATTATTTAAAACATAAATTTGATTGCTCATTGATGAACTAATGTGCACCATTAACATGCACACATGCACAAGAAGTAACATTCATGTGTCGACATTGTTTGATTATTACAAATGAATAATGGCCTCCATTTCTATTGTGCCAATCAATACTCTGTGCTCGTGTGTTGACATGGTTTGATTGGATGATGCTCAACAAAGATTAGAGGGGACATTTTTCTTACACTCCCGCCTCAGCCTCTTTTCTGATTGTGCCTATCAAGCTCACTAGCTCAGTCCACAAATTTGAAATATGAAGAATGGGGAAGTACCAATATTTTAAATGCGTCACTTTTGAGTTTTGGCTTCCATGTAATTTCTAATCCATGTATTTCAGTTCGGGGATCACATGAAGAACAACAGAGGAAAAGCACCGAAAAATACAAAGTTTGTTCGGCTCGATGAATGAAGGACTTCTCAATGCAATTATTGATTTAAGAAAAAAAAAAGGATGACACTGAGGGCCCCCCAACACCGACCGGACGGCACGATGGGAGGATGTAAATTGGAGCATAATTCCACTGGTGCTAGTCGGAATCGAACACGAGACCTCTCCTATGCAGGGTAACCTCACAACCAGCTAGGCTGGAAGTGATGGTTTAAAACTAAGGTATGAGTAAACTTTTTATAGTGACTAGCTCCACCGCTTTCACGGTCCCTTACCCCATAAACCCAAATTTGGCTTGGCCCTACGGGTTAGTATACACCGCTTGGCCCTACCACTTGAAGGGTTTTTTGGGGGATCATAGTTCCACTGGTGCTAGTGGGACTCGAACACGAGACCTCTCCTATGCAAGGAGAACCTCACAACCAGCTAGGCTAGAAGTGATGGTTTTAAACTAAGGTATGGGTAAACCTTTTAGAGTGACTAGCTCCACCGCTTTCACGGGCCCTTACCCCAGAAACCCAACTTTGACTTGGCCCTACGGGTTGTATACACCGCTTGGCCCTACCACTTGAAGGGTTTTTTGGGGGAGCATAGTTCCACTGGTGCTAGTGGGACTCGAACACGAGACCTCTCCTATGTAAGGATAACCTCACAACCAGCTAAGCTGGAAGTGATGGTTTTATTGATTTAAGGATATGATCGAAATAGAGCATTTGAGTATTGTCAGAATAACAAAGGAAGTCTAACTTATAGGACAAGAAAGTTATAGTTGCAATTGTGCGGTAGTGTGTGTATTATAGGCAAAATAACACATGAGATTTCAAATGCCACCATTGCAGTAGGTGAACATTTATTGGTTCCATTACTTCCATAACATAGATGATTTAACGAGTGAACATATACCCAAATCCTAACTTTTAGGACTTCAAATGCCCGATGAGTACAAATCAGGGCAGCAAAATATCTACTGCACAAAAGCCTAAAGACATTTACAAAGTACCCTTCGTGCCATCTAAGTACTACCTAATGTTAAATTGCTAAAAGCTTTACTTCAATCCTCACAGATAAGGTGCATCCATTTTTACTTGGCTTCCTAAGTAAATCAGCTGCCCAAATGAATTAGAAGAAAATCATACACTCAATGGGACTTATTGGAATTTCCAATGAGTAGACCATATCGTGCAGCCAACTGATTAGCATTTCCGTTTTGCCCATTTCCAGCAACACCCATTAACAGCTTATACTTTTTGTAATTTGCCTGCAAGGTCATTTGCTGCTTCTTCGCGAGTTTTTCTTCCTCTTCCAGTTGATGCTATGTAGGACAGCAAAGTTAACAAAATTAACGCATTAGTATCACCAATAGAAATGGAAAATGGAGATATATGTTGCTCAGAAACAGAAATGCAAGATACAAAGTCACAGGATAACCATTTTTTAATGAAACAGAAGTGTAAGAAAGGTTTCTCTGTGATCTGTTTAGTACCTCATAAAGGCACAAGAAGGAAAATAGATGTTTAAACCTTATAAACTAAAAACTTATATAAAAGATCGTTGGGTAGTCCTTATATTAACTTTTTAGAATGAAACATCATACGAAGTAATAGAATATAGTACCCAAGTCAAATCCAGTTGTTTGTCACTCACGACTTATGTATATATTCCCAAAAAGTAAGAACTATATAGATACATACATGTACATATGTTTTGGATCAAACAAAAGTCATCCCAAAATGCATACTAATCTGGAACATCCAATTTAATATCTAAAGGTTCTAAATGTTCCAACTTCCAACAATGCATCAACTTGGATAAAAAACAGTGACATAATTGGGAAATAAACCAAATTTTTATCCCACCGCACAAAGAACTGAAATGCATCATGAACAGGTAAACGAGTAAAAATGTATCGTGCACATTTTGCACGGGAAACACCATTTGAACTGCAAGCAGCTCCTACAGACACATGTATATACACAGTTCACATATATTTAAATTAGGAAAAAGCTAGACAGAATGAAACTCAAATTTGATCGAATCTTATTAAAAGTTCACATATATTTAAATTTCTTAGTCTTCATGTAATAATAGAAATGTGTTAAAAATATACTCCCTCCGTCCCATTGGACTTTCCCAACTTTCCCTTTTTGGTTGTCCCAAAAAAACTTTGTCACTTTCCTATTAAAGCAACTAATTTGTGGTTCTCCTCATTTCTTCCTCCTCTGCTCAAAACTCAACCACACAATTTTTACTATTCTTATTCTCACCTACTTTGGCAAAGTCCATCGGGACGGAGGTAGTATAAATTTATTTATTGAACTTGAACTATGTTTTCCTTGCAAATATCTTCCGTATTTTTGGTTTTCATTCCCAAGCATTTTCTTAGGTTCCAAATGGACCCTTAACATGTTTATGGCTTTCAAGGTTCCAAACATAAACCTGGAGCGTGTGGGAAATACCTCCATCAGAATTTGAGCTTGGGCAGCATGTTCTCTAGCAAGAGAACTCATCCTCATGGCTATCCCATAGTTTTGGTTACCACGGTCCACCCAATGGAATTGTACTTTAGTACCAGGTTTGCGAGGGCAATCATCAAACATATCAACTTCGGCGGCATGGGCCCTCACGGGCCTTGGCATACCCGAGATCATGAACGGTGAACAGCTGACCTCACATATGATTGATTCGGCCTGATCGGCGGTTTGCATCTCCACCAGAGCTGATTGAGCTGCATTGGGGGGCTCGAGGTAGTTAGGGAGTAAACACACATTAGTGACAGATCCAAATTGGTTGAAGGCGGCTCTTAGGACAGCCTCAGTGGCCATTGGTGAGAGGTTATCTATGAAAACCGTCCGCTTCACCTTTTCTAGGAACACTGCATACTCTTCTTCATCTCCTGCAGGTTCCATTTCTCCCCCCTTCCTGAAAGAATATAATGTCCAAAGTGATCATTCAAGTAGACAGAATTGGTTCGATTCTCCGTTTTACCATGGCTTGCTACAGAACAGTGACATGATAACGAGCATGTTTTCTTGGATCATTTACAAATATAATACTACCTCTGTTCCTAAAAATTCTTCCCGGTTTGACTTGGCACGCCTATTAAGAAAGTGAAATAAAGTGAAAATGTGTGGTTGTGGTTGTGTGAGAAAAAAGGTAAAATGAATGTGAGCCACACAAATTGTCCAAAAAGGGAAAGTGGGAAGAATTTTTGGGAACGGCCCAAAAAGGAAAGTGGGAAGTATTTTTAGGAACGGAGGGAGTATTTCTACAGTGGTCATGAGATCAAAATCTGGGTTAGAGACTTGAATGAACGAACAAAACAATGTAAACCATAAGTTTACTGAACAATAGCATATATAATGCTTGAATGACCAAAATGATCAGTTGAGCCCTGCACTGATGTTGCATGAAATGAAAGGGTGAAGACTTGTGTGGTGTTTGGCTAAGAGAAAAATGCTCGGAAGTCAAGTGTTCCGCAGCTTGTTTTGATGTAGCTGAAAATGCTCCAAAAATACTAAAATCAGGAACCTACAAGTTGCAGCCTCTTGATTTGAGCATTTTGCAAAATCAAGAGCCAAAAAAAAAACCTCCAACCCCATTTTTGCCCTTTTGAACATTTTGTACAAATTGCATAGTGAAAGTAAAAAATTGGAACAATTTAGATTAACATCTGAACCTAAAAGAACATGATTCGGATGGCAAAGCTCGATTAAAATAAAAAAAAAAAACTCATCCAAACACCCTTAGATTAGTTGTCATAGTGATGGTTTTGAATAATAATCATTTAAACTACCCCGTCCGTATAGAGAGAGGTTCATGGTTTGTTTTTACCAGTAGTTTTTATTTGTACAGAGTCCGCACTGCAGAGACCGTGTAACCAATAAAGCCTCCCCCTCCTCTTCCTCTCTGTAAGAGATGAAAGAGAAAAAGTTTGAGCTCCAAAAACGAATGGCCCACTTTTGGGTGATAAATAGCGGGAAAAAAAAGGAGTGAGGGAGAAATGGCGCGACGACAATGGTTGATGGTGCGCACGCTGGGCGGGGAAAGTGCAACCCAGCACACATTTCTCGTGTTGAAGAAATATACCCATTTTTGGCAAACAACAACAGAAAACACAATGTGTGGCCGGCAAGGCCAGGTTTTTGAAAGTGTAGCCCACAGGCAGTTATTACGAAGCGGGGAAGGATGGCCAGTAAGAACAACACGATCGTGAGAAGCTCATGTTTCAGAGAACAGAAAGACGGATGGATGGATTCTCTTTTATTTATTTATTTATGAAATAATATTCTTATACTATTACCTCCGTCCGATCCAGAGACGACTGCCGTGTGCTCCCCGCCTTCTGCTCTGCTTCCTCGGGCGGTGGCCTTTGTTCTCCGGCCTAAGCAGCAGCTATTTAGTTTAATTAGTTTTGGTTCTGGAAATAATTACAGTGTTCGGCGCATTCAAATTTCTTTCTACTTGAAAAGTTTTATGGAAAGTGACAGACATTTGGTTGGATTCCTTGAGCTTAAATTTTGAGTAATGAGTAGTAGGAAATAGGAATCACTTATAGCTATAGCTGTTGCTTCTTAAACTAGTTTACCGAAAGATTGTGTGGAGGAAGTAACAGCACTGTTTATTCATAAGAAATTGTCCTAAATAGGACTAAAACATGGCTAAAATTCTAAAATAGGACTTGAAGTTTATTATTTCCTAAATAGGACCATTGATTACATTTTTGCCCTTCCTTTAATTAAACCCTGGAATACTTCGCCGACTCCAACACCCATATGCGCAGACCCATCTGTGATGAAGAAACCAAGATGCGCAGACCCATCGCCGACTCCGATCAAGCCAGGTAATTTTCTCGATCTCATTTCTCTTCTCCTTCTCTTCGTCTTTTCTTCTTTTCTCCTTCTCTTCTCTTCTCCTTCTCTTCCACTCTTCTCTTCTCTCTTGTACGACTCAGGTCCTCTAGTTCCTATTTTTTTCACTTTAACAGTTTCTTACTTTTAAGATTTTACACAAATTATTTTGATTTTGAGATTTTGGAAGAGATTTTGTTAACAATTAGATGAAAAATTAGGTTCCAGCGCTCGATCGATTGTAGATCTCAATTTTATTTATTTATTTATTTATTTACCAAATTTGATTAATTATGAATTGAGAATGACATAATTACAAGTACTTAATACGAAAAATGCCACTTTTAATGCATTACATCTATAAAGATGACAGTATTGCTTTGAAATTTCAAAAATGTCATGTTTTTGCCAGTTTGACAAAAATGTCACTTTTGAATCACAAAATGTCATAGTTATTGGTTATTTGAAATAAATGTCACTTTTGTGTCACTATGTTTTGAAGATGGCGATATAAAAAATGTCATGTTTTTGCCAGTTTGACAAAAATGTCACTTTTGTGTCATATCAAGTGGCATTCTCGATGGAAGTTGTAGGGACTTGCTGAAGAGCGGCGGCTTCATTCGTCAAAGGATGGTGGCGGCGAACTCTCTAAGGCGGCGGAGGCAGCAGACTTGCTGAAGGACACACTGGTGCGGCACTGGAGGATGGTTGAATTGCCGCATAGACCTGAAGACAGGAGGATGGCTGGGATGCGCAAGTTACGCGCAAATGTTACAGCAGTTCAACACTGAAGGCTATTTTTGTCCAAACACAATTATTTAGTCCTATTTAGGGAATTTAAAACAATAGGTCCTATTTTTGCATTTACTTCATCTTTTACTCCTATTTTGGTAAATCTCTCTTTATTCATTCACAGTGTTTTTGTGTTATGATGATGAATGAATATTTTTATAAATTTGACTTCACACAAATTAAGAAAATAAGTTTGACTTTATTGTGGAGTGCACTGTTTTGCACTGTTTAAACATTGTTTGACACTGTTTGGACACTGTTTGACACTGTTTTGATGTAGATAATTTGCCAAATAAGGAAAGTTTTGAAGTGTGAAGTTAATTTCGGGACTGTCCAAAAAGGAAAGTGAGAAGTTGTTTACGGGACGAAGGAAGTATATTTTTTCCACCAGCATAGTTCATCTCTATTGATGGTGGTATCATGTCATACTTAGAGCCCATTTGGTAGCTCGAAAATCGGTTGATTTGGTTGATTCTGTTGAAATTTATGAAGTTTTGGCTGGAGTGGTTGCATTGGCTGATTCTGCTATTTTAAGAAAAAATTATTTTTAAAATATATTGGGATAAGGGTCAGATAGGGCCTCGAACTTGAAAAAAATGTCAAATAAGGCCATATTTAGGATGCTCTGTCCGGCCGACGCCATTTGGGGTGGTTCCCGGTGGAATTTTTTGATGAAATTTTTTGAGAATCCTATTCATTAAGTCTAGTTTACTCATATCAAATTTGAACTAACAATTCAATCGGAAAGGCATTCAAATGAATTCATGAAGATAACTGCGTTTTTAACGATACAGTTATCTTCAAGAATTCATTTGAATGCCTTCCCGATTAAAGTTTTAGTTCAAATTTGATATGAGTAAACTAGACTTAATGCATAAGATTCTCAAAAAAATTCATCAAAAAATTCTACCGGGAACCACCCCAAATGGCGTCGGACGGACAGAGCATCCTAAATATGGCCTTATTTGACATTTTTTTTCAAGTTCGAGACCTTATCTGACCCTTATCTCAAATATATTTTATTAATAAAACAAAAAAAAAATTATATGTAAAAATAGCTAAAATGGTCATCTACAGTAACTTCAACCAATACAGCCAGAAAAGTAAGTTCAACCTTACTTTTTCGGCTTATTACACAATTCAACGCGCGAAAGCAAAAATTACGTGTTTGGTGTAAAAGTCGGCTGATAAGCCTGATAAGTCAATAAACAGTGTTACCAACGACCTCTTACTTGAACATATCAAAATATAGAGATCATTAAAAGCGTAATTTACCATGTATGCTCATGACATTAGTGATGAGTGTACTATATATTGGTTATGTCACGCCCCGGACCTAACCGGACACGTCAACAACCCGCCGTACAGTACGAATAGTCAACCGCAGTCCAACACATCCATACTATACAAGGCGTCTGGAATATCATTCACACGTAGTACATCCATAAACAAACATAATGTAAAATATTCATTTAAAGCAGCGGAAACATTCAATACAAGTGTTCATGCCACACCTTGGCAAACATGGGTATACAAGCCCCCAAATAAATATTTAAAAAAAAATAATATCCATGAGCATTATTTAAAATGTTTTCAAGACAGGAACGGAAGAAGCACGAACCACGTCTCCCTCCTTTGATCTTCCCGAAGCAACGGGCGGTGGTAGCAACCTTCAAGTTCTACCTGAAACTGTGAGGTGGCCTCCCCCGTGAAGGGGAGGTCAGTACTTGGAAGCATTTGACAAGTACAATGACAACTATACTAAGTATAATCAAAGTTTCAATTTCCAAGACCCTCAATCTAGGATGTTATTATATTATAGGTCATAACCCGTGGTTACCCTCTTTGAAAGTATACTTACTTTATATATAAAGTCAAGTAGTCGCCCGAAGGCCCATGTTTACTTTGAAAACATTTAACCCTTTCCCCGTGACTTCAAGCCACACCCATCTATATTAGTTTACCATGCTAGAGGCTTCCTCTAGTCATGTTTTGTCGTGCTAGAGGCTGACTCTAGTCACTCCACTTGGTGTTAGAGGCTTCCTCTAATCACCTTACATACGTTGTGCTGGAGGCTTTCTCCAGTCACATTACGTTACGCTAGAGGCTTCCTCTAGTCGTCCTACACGAATGCTGGAGGCTTCCTCCAGTCATTCTTCATCGTGCTAGAGGCTTCCTCTAGTCACGATACTAGTTCACTAAGCAAGTTCTATGCCTAGAGTTCCTCTATTGTGAGTAGCCTTTGAGGCCTACTCCTACGGTAACTTAGCGTTTACCCATTTCTACCTTAAGACATCTCATAAGACTACTTAAGGTGTACCTCTCTCACAATCCAAGCCCTTAGGATTTGTTCTATCACTTTTCATACTAACATTTCCGACTAGTAAAATCAATACTAATCCATTTGTCTTTAAGCCACCAAGCTCTTTAATCCATAGTTATAAGGCTCATTCCCATGAATTTCCCAATCTATATATGATTTAATCTCAATATCAAAAATATCACTTTTATCCATTCATGATTTCTATACATGAAGTAAAAGTATATTTCATCACAAAAACTCATGATTTATACATTCATCATATCATCATTCTTACAATGCATAACTATACACCATTTACTCATAATTTGTATGTTATGCATCTTCTATTAATAAACAACAATATTTTCATTAGGCATTATTAATCATTAATAATCCATGAAAATCACATTTAATTATCTTAGGTAATCTTATGAAATTAACCCAGGCCAAGGATTATAAGCAATATAGTCGGTCATCCTCACCTCAATTGAGCTTTAAACTATCCCTTCTTGGTCCAATGGTCAAGACTTTGGTCAAGGTGGATTTGGAACTGATTCCTTGCTCAAATATGGGTGTTAAACAGCCTCTTCAAAGCGCTAGCTCAACCCCTAAACGTTGGTACGAAAACAGCCCCTAGAATGGGTGTTTTCCGGTGAACACGTTTCCTAGTTTTCCAAGATTTACTCTAGGTTAGTATCTAACCTTTACATCAATAAAATAACTTTACAAGGACATATTATACACTTGGATTAGTGTACAATGGTTCCACCAATCGTTCATATCATTTGGAAAATGAAAGGAAAGGTTTTGGGATTAACAACTCACTTTAGAAGAGTAGATCCGTTTCTGCGAGGTTGTGTTTTGCTCGGACGATTTGGAAGCCTTCCACTACTCCGATTGATGCAAAACAGACCTTCACGGATTCCTCGTCTTGAGAGCTTTCTTTTGGTATCTCACACGCCTTAATTGGATTGGTATAACTCGAGATATCCACCAAACAGTTTCAGCACTCTCAGAGCTCGAGTTTACAGACCACTGCTCGCTCCAGATCGATTTTTGGATGATTACTCTCTCCTCTCGAACAGAGACCACTCAATTATGAAAATAGACTTCAAAGGCTATCCAAGTACACCTTATTCACGTTGTTTGGTCGAGTATAACTCCCATAATGAGTGGAGACAAACAGCACACCATTTTGTGCGAAAAATGGAGATGGTGGCCCAACATTTGATTCCTATCAAGTCTTATACAGCTCCTCTCCATGGTGGTCGGCAAAGGTAAGTCTTCTCACCCATTTTTATTTGTCTTGCAGGTACTAATATCATGTGGAGTGGTTCCCCATTGATCCCAATTATTTTGGGGTCCAAAATATCTATCAATACCTCCAAAAATGGGAAGATGAGTTCTATTGTTTTATCTTTTGTCAAATATGTCTTTTTGTACTCATCCTAATTTATTTAGAACAAGTCAACTTCCTACATCACATTATTGATCTCCAATATGTGTAGGCTCATCTCAATAATTTACTTGATGGACATTATAGAAGGAAAATCTTACTCCCATTATTTAGCTCAATAATGTCAAAGATGGGATCATAGGCATTTTTATTCATCTCAAATCATCCTATCACTT